AAATGCGTTTGATTTGCAGAAGGAAGAATTTAGGCTAGATCCAAATACTCTCTGTATTGCTAATCAGTAAAGTAGATGCTCAAGAGAGGCTACGTAGTGCTGTTCCTAAGAAGATCTATAAAATTACGATAGAAATTACATTGTTCGTAGTTTTTGAAAATCATAAGGCCTTGTGAATGTTGTATCCAGCATGAGACTTCCATCACCCCACCCAGTTTTTCAATATCACTCTTACTCTTTTCTAAATAATCCTCTGATAACTATTACTATTACTCAATTCAATAAAGTAGTATATATTTTTAAATGAACAGTTGAGTTTGGTTAAATTCAAAGTCAATTTTGGTGTTGTAAAGGCATGGTCTTATAATTTTCCCAAATAGTTCCATTAAAGTCAAGCTGTTAGAGCAGGCAGAGAGCTAGATGTGAGCAGAGAAGGTGGAGCACGGGGCAGGTGGCAGGAAACCACACATCTTGTGAACAGCCTCGGGCCCTTGGGCAGACAAAGAAAAGCAGGAACCTCTGGACTGTAAGAAACCACACATTTTGGGATGACAAGTGTCCTGGAGGATGAAAAAGAAAGATGGGAAAAGGCAAGACCCTCCAGTGTCAGAATGTAACCTTTTGCTCATTATAATAAAATCAGCCTTGCAGATTAGAAGTACCCATCATGCACTGAGGCCATGACACTTTGGATCCAGACTAAATAAGGACAAAAATCTCTCCCTCCTTTGGGAAGGTGGAGCTGGGATGAAAATCAGGGAATATGACCCCAAACCCCTGCCCCATGAATAATCCGCCCATTCATTTCTACACCCTGTGTAACCACCTTGACAAAGAAACTCAGTGCAGCCGCTCACCTGAGTCTGCCCGCTCCCCCCTTGAGAGCCTCCTATCACTCAATAAATGCTCACTTTACTTTTCTCTCACTTCTGAATTTTTTCTGCAATGAGACAGGAACTCACTCTCCAGGAAGAAAAAAAAAAAAGCCAAAGGGAAAATAGAAAAGGGAGAGCTTTAAACATCACATTTGAGGCCTACATCCTGATTTTCCCAGGGGAAGCCTAGATTTCTTTGAGGATGGGGCTGTTTTCTTTTCTTCTTTTTTTTCCATAGCTAATTCCAGGGACCTTGCTCAGAAGGAGGCATTCACATTCTGTTTAGTTTTGGAAAAGACCAGGAAACTTTTAAACTATGTGAAACTGAGCGGAAGGGGGCACTAGACCCTCCATGTCGATTGAAGCTGGCAGATACTTGCCCAGATCTTCTTTTCACTCTGCTTAAGAGGGTGTTTTCAGGAAGTCTATACGGGATCAAAAGGGGTTATCAAGCAAGTTCACTTTCAGAAGTGACTTTATACAAAGGAATCTTGACCAAATATAAGGACAGAAGCTGGGGAGGGTACAGCTCAAGTGGTAGAGAGCAAGCTCAGCATGCATGAGGTCCTGGGTTCAATCCCCAGCACCGCCATTAAAACATAAATAAATAAGCCTAACTACCTACCCCCTAGGGAAAAGAAATTTTAAAAGGACAGAAGTGTTCAAAGTATAAATATACAGAAAAATAACACAGGACTTTTTATTTCTAGCGATATTGCTGGTTAGATAATCTGGAAGCCTCTTACTACAAATCACTCAGATACACTGGACAAAAATGTAACAAACATGGTTTTAGGTGCTAATAAGAAAGTAAAGGAAATAACCCAGACACTGACATTTTGACTGATTTGGGTTTATTTATTCATTTATTTTGCCAGTCTGGTTAACAATAGGTTTGAGTTTTAAAGGCTATGAAAGTATAGGAGACACATTTTGGGGTCCACAAAGGGCAGGAATTTGGACCTAACACCCTGTAATAAGGAACCCTTGAAGGACCACATTTATCCCCTCCCTAAGGGAGACTTGGAAGAAACTCTTCTGGGTAGCCTGACCTGTTGGGGAGAGGCGATGTGAACTAAAACCCTGAGAATCTAACAAGCCTGAGCGCTTCAGGCTGCCCTCCCTCAGCTTTAGGGTTTGAATTCCTACTGTCTGGAGAGCCTAGAGTCTCCAACAAAATAGTTTAAAATTCAGTCTCAGGCTGAAAATAACACTGGAGACTTCAATAAAAGTAATTAAAAGGCCTCTCTAGAAAGGCATACTTTCAGCTGCGCATAGGATTCCTAAGCATGAACTCACAATTCTAAATTACAAAACACGTGAAAAAAAAATCGAGAATCATCAGCAACAACCACCAGCATAATTAGAGCCTAAGAACTTCAGGGGGAAATTATAAGGACATTCAAAACTGGGAAAGAGAAGAAGCAGACATTGCGGAAGTATTTCCTGGGAGCAGGTTTTCAGGCCCTCAGAGTAGTTCATTTGTATCCTAGCCCGCGGGTGGCTTTACTTATGAAGTAACTCAGGGCCAGAGGACACTCCATGTTGTCCTGAGACCACCCGTCCCGCACACACTGGAGTTCGGTGAGCAGAACTAAGCCGGGGAATGGGAGAAGCTGCCGGCCGTCAGTGGTGGGCCACTGAGCAAAGGCAGATTTAAGTCTGTATTTCAGCTGAAGTCAAGTTCAGAAAGAAGACTGATTAATTCCAACAGGGTGGGAAGAGTGGGAACTAAACGAAAGGGAGGCAAGACAGAGCTAGAAACTGGGGAGGTGGAGGAGGTGGTGTTCGTTCAGGCTAAAGGATACAGGTGGAAGAAAGGTCACCTCGAGGTCACCATCAGAGGAGGCTGTGGTTGACAGCTGGCTTGAGGAATATCCAGAAGTGTTGTTTTGACCGTGAAGTGAGCCAGACCCAGAGAAAGGAATCTAATTTCAGAAAGAGACTGTGTCTGCAAGGGTGTTAATGGGAGCTTTTCATCCCTGGAACTGCACACGTTGGGCTGGGCTTGGTTCCTCCTGCCCCGGCCCCAGGAACGTGTGGCCTTTGCTCTGTGGGTGTTGGAGACAAAACTACCAGAGACTCTGTCTTGACCGATCAGCTTCCAGATGAATGGGACAGAAGTGGTTCTCAGAACTGCAATGGGGACTTTATGTTTTAATATGAATTTAGCGCCATGTCAGGTCTGTAGGTAACACATCATGACGGAAGGAAATAGGAAGTCATGTGATGGCTACTTTCAGCCACATTTAAGTGTTTGGAACTTTTTTGTACCTGTTTTTAGGGTGCAGAATGAACAAAATCAAACTCCTTTTGCTTAAGAACTTTTCAGGTTTTGGAGAGGAAAGAGCTGTCTTCACAAATAAAAATCTAACTCAAAGGTAAAAGCCAGATTAGCGTAACTTGATGCAGATACTACTGTTAGTTAGAAACATTCTAGCTAAATAGGAATAACTCGGAGCCAGTTTCCAAGGGACCTAAAAAATCATCGAGCAGTTGTTTTTCCTTCCTGCTCCCCCTCCCCTTCCTCTCCCCCCTCCCCATGCCCTCCCAACTCCAGCACAGGGAACGATGGTCAGTATCTCGTAGTAACCTATAATGAAAAAGAAGGTGAAAAAGAACATATGTGTATACACGTATAACTGAATCACTGTGCTGTACACCAGAAACTAACCCAACATTGTAAATCAACTACATTTCAGCTTAAAAAATTTGGTTTTAAAAGATAACTTAACAAGTTTAGTTCTCAAACATGGCTGGTCATTAGAATCATCTAGGGAAGCATCAAAATTACAGATTTGCTGAAATTGACCCCAGGGCCAGGACTCAGACTCTCCTGGCTTGGGACCCCAGAACTGGTATGCTTTTTATGTGTGTGTGTGTGTGTGTGTGTGTACATCTTTATCCAGGCATCTGTTGGCAGGCATTTAGGTTCCTTCCAAGTCTTGGC